GAGAGCCACGAAAAAAGATCAAGGAAGCAAACAAGCAAGCACAATAACGCTTTCGCGTGAAAAGAACCAGTAATACTTTAATTCTTCCCGAACTTCGCCAAAATGAGCAAGGTTGGAACAGTTCTAAAACACACGAGGCCTCGTGAAAGCGCTGCAACCTCTCAGAATTGTACAAAACCGCTTACAAAGCAAACTCCTATAGGGAACAACACACCCACGTAATCCAATGCCTCCAAGTAATTTAGGAAATTACTAATGCAGCAGAAAGTTATAACTCTAAGCCAAACAAAATCACATTCAGGACAAGTCCCGGCTGGATAAATGTTACTAAAAAAATAGAAGAGCTGGAACTTTATCGAGCAATGACTCTTGCCGGTACTTTTCCTTTCGCGAGTACGATGTGCCGACCACTGGCAAGCGTATGGTCGTGCGTACGCTTCAAATGCACCTCTCGGTGCTGTGGCGTCAAAGGGGCATACGTGACGAGGCGCGAGGGATCAAGCGAGGCTTGATATTTTGGCCAACGATATTTTCGTTTACGCCATGGTTCTTATCTTACAACCAATGTCTATTGTATCATTAAGAGCCAGGTGTGCTTTGTTGCATTAGAGGATATTTTTAATACACACATCACGAGAAATCCTTCTAAACAGGGCTCAGTCGCAGTCTTTTGACCTAAATTTGTAACATCATGAAGTGTCGGGTGCGGTCTGTTGCATGAGAGAACACTTCGGCTGCAGACTACATTCAGAAGCTTTTCATACAGGGTTCACTGTTGCAATATTATGACCGATATCTATGACTTCATGAAGAGTTGGGTGCGCTTTGTCGCTTTAGAGAATACTTTGACTACAGACAACGCCCAGAAGTCTTCCATACAAGATTCAGTCACAGTCTTATGACCAATATCTGTCACATCATGAAGTGCCAGGCACAGTTAGTTGTGTTACAGCGTATTTCGACAACGGCAAATGTACAAAGGCATTCTACGCAGTGATTGGTTCCTATCCTATGACCAATATCTGTTGTATCATTAGGAGCCAGGCGTGCCTTGTTGAATTAGTGGATATTTCTAACGCACACATCATTCGGAAGCCTTCTACACAAGGGCACAATTGCAGTCTTATGACCTAAATCTGTCACATCAGGAAGTTTCAGGCGCGATAATTAAGCCAATAAGAGCTGTAAGATATGAAGTCTAAATGTACTGAATTTACCAGCATATTCACAATAATATTAATGAATTTGGTAGTGTAGGTATAGGAACCTGGTGATTTATGAATCTGATTTGGGGGGCGGCCACCCTCTATGTCATCGAAGAAAGGGGGGGGGGGGGGGCGCGCAATGTCAACTCCATAGATTTACATGATAGGGTGGAAGCGCTCAGTCAGCTCCTAAATGACACAACATGGAGGGGGGAACTGCGACGAACCTTTCCCCATCCCTCCTCTTTAGGAAACCCTTCTCGCGCCTCTAATAGACGAGCAGCGTCCCAGATCCCAGACGCAAATTTCCGTTCGTGGGAGCGGCGCACGCACAGATGTTGATTTCTGCTGCGTACCGTTGTAGTTACTTGCATGGGCCACTGCGATGTCAATTACTTTTCAAATAGTCAAAACTGTGGAGGGTGAGGCACAATCAACATTGCAACGCGCTATCACATCTCCAAAAACGTACGAACCAGCTTCAGTTGAGAACACATCGTTCTGTGCTAAACTTGGACAGTTCTCCTTATGAAAACGAATTTTGAGAGTATAATGTGCACCTAATGCACACCTAATGAATCACTAGATTGACATTAGACCTGCAAAGCTTAATATCTCTTGGCAGCAGGCGTGGAATGAAGACTGCACGCAATGATCAAAGTACGCAGATTTTCCAGTGCGTGTCCTAATGTCAAAAAACATCACAACGAAGAAATTTACGTTAATATTTTATAGCTAACAAAAACTGAATTTCTTTCGACTAAATGTAGTAACGGTGGGAATTCTAGATCCCAAAACCACTTTATGAGCGCCCAAGCAGAGTGCCTCGGAAATTTCGACGATCTGTGATTTTTTAACGTGCACCTAAGTCTAATAGATTACTTGCTGATCTGAACATTCCTGTACATTTTGTCTTTCGGAGATATGAAACACCACACATTTTGTATGCCCATACATTTTCCAATCATATTTCAGTAAATATAACTTTGACATGAGAATGTATTCGTACACATGCTTAAGTGTATGTCAGCTAGACCATAAGAGAAATAATAATAATAATAATAATAATAATAATAATAATAATAATAATAATAATAATAATAATAATAATAATAATAATAATAATAATAATAATAATAATGATGATGATGATGATGATGATGGTGATGATGATGATGATGATGATGATGATGATGATGATGATGATGATGATGATGATGATGATGATGATGATGGTGATGATGATGATGATGATGATGATGATGATGCAGGATCTCATATAGATTCACGTAAGACGACTCGAAGGAAGACACCGTTTTGCGAAGCCTTCGCAATCAGCCAGCCTTTGGACAAGCTATGATGCGTTTTGGAGCGATGTAAAGACTTGATCATGAGACGCTATGATGAGACGTCATCTCGTGGTCATTATTTTTTTTTTTAGGGGCGAAGCTTCTTATGGCATGGCTTGGGCGTCCCTTGTAGTACGTAACCACCAGTGGCACATACCCGAAATAGGTATAACATTTGACCTCCAAGGTGGTGCCGGTGAGAGATTTCTTCTGTGCGTTGTTTAACAATATAAAATAGTGCTCAATGTACATGCCAATGGCTGCTAATGGGGAATGAGAGACAGGAGCATTCGGCTTTTAGTCAACGCGCACGCTGCGATCCCCATTAGCAGCCATTGGCATGTACATTGAGCACTATCGGACAAGAAAGGGTTACTACATTATACTCGCTGGGTGTAACCTCCTTAGCTTTAGAAAGGTTTGGCGAGCGTTGAGCCGCAGGGCCATGAATGCAATGAACTAGTATATACAATGAATGAATTCGAGGTGGTTAAAGGGGGTAAGCAGATACGAAGCGCAAGCCGTAAGAAATTAAAAGCTGAATCCTCCTGTCTCTCATTTCACATTAGCAGCCACTGGCATGTACATTGAGCACTATCTGACAGGAAAAGGTTGCTACGTTATACTCGCTGGGCGTAACCTCCTTGGTTTTAGAAAGGTTTAGCGAGCATTGGGCCGCAGTGCCATGAATACAGTGAACCAGTATGTACCATGAATTCAAGGTGGTTGAAGGTGGAAAGTAGACCCGAAGCGCAAGCCGTAAGAAAGTGTGCGTGTGCCACCTCTCGTTTAGTCCTTGGAATGTCTGCTGGATGGCGGTGCTTCTATATTGGGAATATATGATGAAAAGATGCGAGATGGTGGTACTTGGAGTGTTGAATAGATGGACGAACGGACACATAGACAGATGCATGGATGGACGCATGAACGGACGCAGGGGCGGCTGCATGGACGAACGCAGGGACGGGCGCACGAACAGACGCATGGACGGTCACACAGACGGACGCATGGACGGACGAATGCTTCGCCCCACTCTCCATCATTCACTCCGTAGATATGCTGCCATTTTTTTGCATGCATCTCTCGTTCCCTACACCGCAGGATGCGAGACGCCACCAGCGGTCAAATTTTACATTTATAGAGGCATCTGAGGCTTGCGATTTCATTATGAATCAATTATTTATCTATTTCCTTACGTTACGTACCCAGAAACAATTTTAAGGCTTTTGTGGAGGCGCATCTAAAATTATTATTATTATTATTATTATTATTATTATTATTATTATTATTATTATTATTATTATTATTATTATTATTATTATTATTGAGATATTTGTGCCAGGGGCGCGATGTGGAGGCAAACTTTATTGGGGCATTCAGGGATGCCTCTTTTGACCAACTTGTGCACATAAATTTTGAATATGTATTTAAAACTAACAAGCATAGGGTCGATCGCTTAGAGTAAAGCGGTATCCCAAATAGTTACATAGACATGCCAATTTCCCATTCGCTTGGAGGGGGACGGTTACATTAGCGGACTTTTGGACACCGAAGGCAGCACAGGAGATAAACTCATCTTATCGTTGTAGAGAGCATTTGGAAGCGTATTTAAATATCACTTACACTTTTACAACAAAAATACGAACGGGAGCGGCAACTGCCAGATGTGCGCCCCTCTCCCCACCCCGGGTAGGTCGTGGCTAGCGAAGGCGTGATGGAGAGGGAGAGAGAAAGCTTAATGCTCAGCCATGCCTCTCTCCCCGCCACTGGTTGCTGTCCCGACGGTAGCTGTCGCGTAAAGACAGCCGTGTAGGTAAGAAAAAAAAAAATCGGCGAGGGGAAGGAAAAGAACACCTCGTTGTCTCGGAGAGGGTTAAGGGGGGAAGGCGGGGCAGGCAAATAGTCATTTTGCTCCATGTATGCCACGGCGACAAAAAAAAAAAAATCGCCGGAAAGGCATGGGGGGGGGGGGGGGGGGTCACCGGCTTGGTTGTCAGCCCCTGGCTAGAGGGACCTACCCTGGCTACGCCACTGCGTAGAGAGGTAAAGGAGCGGACACCCGGTCAGATACCTTTCATTTTATTGTGCAGGAATGCATGACATTTATGCTTTTCTACACACATGCAAAGCCGCTGCCGCAAAACCATTGCCCTTGAGATCTGTACTTATTGGCTTTGCGTTACTGAGACTCAGAGATGACTATCGCTTTTGACTTGAGTTCTGAAATCTTTTTTTGTTATGCAAAACAAAACACACACACACCTGCACACAAATATGACTAAAATAATTATAAACAACCTATTTTGCAAGAAAAGTTAGAATTGCGTTTGACTTTTACTGTAAAATTATTTCTTTATTGAATCGTTAGTGCTGCCGCTTGCACGCTTATCTTGGTTAGGACTGTAAACTAGCAGTTGCAACAGGCCTCGTTGTACTGCAGGCTCACTACCAGCTCACGCGAGCACATAAGCTGCAAGTCTGCGGTTACATAATTGCCTTGTTGATAGATATTGCGTGAATTGTATGCTTATCCTCCTTTGGAATTCGTCTACTGAATAGTTTCCGCGTGTCGGAAAGTTCTGCTGCATTATTCAAGTAGCGGACGATGTTTCGCCGTACGTCGCCGCTCCAAACAGCCTCATCAGACGCGCGCCTTTATGTGCGCTCTCAAAAGTGATTTCTCCATTAATTTATCGATTACTCGCGTTCTTCGCGTGATTCAATGCCAAGAGTATTTCCGAAAACAATCCACGACCCCGTGTTGTGACAACCAGTGACTGGTGTTGTACAAGAGCGAAAGCGTGAGCCTTTTGACGGGCGACTGAAGAGTGCACTGCCAATGCCAAGCTTAGGTAAGTTGAAGAAAGTCGCTGAGCTACGTAACTGGGTGACTTCATTGCGTGACAACTGGTATGCAGGAAGCGATGGCCCGGGCGGCGCGCAGGCACAGCGAGGATGATGAACCAGAGACCTGATATGCAGGTACGTTTTGAAATGGCTTACTTTATATCGCCGTAAGAACCAGTCGCTGGACGCGTTCATTACATGTTTTTTTTTTTTAATTCGCGTTGCGCTACGCGATCTATCCTTCGGTCATGCAAGCCTCGTATGGTGCGGTTATTCCTTGTGTGTTTACTGCACGAGATTATCTTTTGATCCCTTGTCGCCGTATAGAAGTGTCAGCTTTTAAACATACGGGTGTCGCGAGAGTAGTTCACGTTCACCTAACTCGATAGTTTGTGCGTTATTACGCGCAAAGCAATCACACGGCTAGGCATGTAGACAGAAAAACGCACAGCCCTGTCAAGCACACACGAAGTATATGTTATTGTGGCTGCGCTCTGAATCCTTTTAACCAGAAATTCAAGTAATTCCTCAGATGTCAAGATTTCATCCTAGCTGCCTCATAAATATTTTAAGATAGCTAACATGAAGTATACGTACTTCAGTAAACTACACTGTGTTGAAACTAGGAGTACACTCCTACCACTGCATTTAAGATATGTTGATATCGAGTAGGGTTTGTAGAAGAACATATGATTTCAATTAAGTTAATTATGCTAATACATGACAGCCTTTGCTGCAATATTTGTGTGAACTTTTGTTATCTATATAAATCTTTTTCTCCTTGAGGCATACCAGGTTCTCAGTCTCAAATAACTTACACTGTGCTCATGTAGTATAATTGTTGCTTGATTGTGTGGTGCTTCAAGTTGTATTTTCATGCTTTATTTTTTTACATCAGTGTTGTACTGATATTACCTACTTGCTTGTATGACGAGGATGTATAAGCAATGTGTAACGTTCAGGGATTTTTTTTTTTTTTTGAGGTAGTAAATTACAAGCACAAAGATCTTATTCATATGTTTCCAGATGTTGACAGAAAGTTTCAGAATATTATTTTTGTGAAGGGTTTATACAACTAAAAGAAATCCTACAAATAGCTTGTGTGAACAAGTCAAACTACATGAGAATTAGCTTCAGAATACGAATAGTTTGTTTTCCAAAATAGCTTACATTTATGATGTAATACATTATGTATGGCTCGCTCTCACACATGCCATGTGCACGTATGATGATGATGATGATGATGATATGTGGGGATTAACGTCCCAAAACCACCATATCATCATGAGAGACGCCGTAGTGGAGGGCTCCAGAAATTTTGACCACCTGAGGTTTTTTAACGTGCACCCAAATCTGAGCACACGGGCCTACAACATTTCCGCCTCCATCGGAAATGCAGCCGCTGCAGCCAAGGTTCGATCCCGCGACCCACGGGTCAGCAGCCGAGTACCTTTGCCACTAGACCACCGTGGCGGCGCTGCACATAGACCATGTACTCTTTGCAAATTAATAGTGCCTGTTTTGATTGTGCCATGTTCCCTTTGTTCAAGGATTGACCTTTTAATGTATCAGTGTACACTTGGCTGAGACATGTTTGCTACTCGCTTTCTGTGTGTGATATAACGTTTGTTGTGTGTGAAAGTAATTTATTGTGGTATTTGTTGTGTATGTATCAGCGGTGACAGCTGTTCATGACCCCAGCGCAGAGGATTGGTTGCAGTGCACGATTGGAGCGGTCTTTCTGCAAGCCCTGACAAGCCTTATTAAGTGGTAGGCATTTCTTTTTGTTACTACAGTATGACAGTTTGGACAAATAGCACCTATTCAGATATAGCATACAATGTCCTTTAGCTTAGGTGTGAGAAGCCTATGTCCTGCACTTCAATGCAGTTTTCTTTGCACATGGAACATGTCATATGGATTGTAATCCTTGAACATGGAATGTTGACGGAGCCAACGTTGTGACACTTGGAGGCATCTGATAATGGGAACAGCTGTTCCTTGTCACTGCTGTCTTGACCAAGGCTCGAGATCTTGTTGAAGGGTTGCACAAGGGGAAAAATTCAGCATTGGTTGTAAAACCTTAGGTAATATTTTGCTCAATATAACACGAGGATGAGAATGGTGCACTTACAATAAACAAAATGGGTTATTGTAACAGAAGCACAAAAATTTTTGGCGTGATGCTCACCCTGTATATTTTAGTGCTTCGGTTGCAATAATCCATTTTATATGAAGTTATGGCAAGTGTTGCATCCTCTCTCCTGGTCTTAGTGTTACATTCTGCTAAATGTCACATAAGTTGGAAGGTTTGCTGCAGCGACATTTCCTCTTATAGGATTTCTTGGTCTTTTCAATTTTCTTCCATCAACATCCATTTTGTTTGGACTGCCAGGAAACTGTGTGCAGTGAAATCTCACTTACAATCATGTTTTGCTTATTGTTCTGACAATTTCTTTTACCTAAATTTTCTTGTTTTAATGGAAACAAAAGATTTCTTTAACAAAGATTTTTTTTACATGTAGAAGTGTCATTCATTTTTTTTTTGCACTTTTTAAAGGGGCAGTAAAAAATATTGAAGTCCAAAAATTTAAAGAAGTTAAACAAGCGCACTTTTGTTATGTGCACATGCTGCCGCAAGAATTTGGCGAATTCGTGCTTAAGGAAGTTACAGGGGTCGTTGTTTCACCTCCTTTTCAAATTTTTATGTGTATGAGCAGATTTGTGGTGCAATCGTGTTTTAAGTAACATCGTGCAACATGCAAGTGCCTATTCCTTTCTAACAAAGCCTTTTCAGATAATATATATTTCCTGAGAGTTTGATCATCTGAATCAAGGACAGCTTTTCTTGGAAGGCAGCACATACTCATGTTTAATCACTATTGTTTGGAACGTATTCTTACTACAATGTATAAAAATACCATGAATATGTGTATGTCATACAGTTTTCAAGACATGGAGGCCTACCACACAGAGAAGTATAATTTATGTGATAGTGCCTTGAATAGTCTTGTTGGACCACAAGGTTAAATCGTTGAAGGAATTCATACTCTTATGGATGTACATATATGTTAACCATACTGGGCATGTTGGTACATACTCGGGAGGAAACAGGAGTGCAAGCAAATACATGGTCAGCTGGATCCATTATTCTTTCTGTGTTGGCATCTTACCTCATAATGCTGTTCACTTCTAAGTGTACATTTTATTTCTTCGTTTAGCTCGCGCATACTCTAAATTGTATTATCTCTGTGACATGTGGGTTCAGGCGGTATTTTTGGCATCTGCACGATCTAAAATAGTCATGAGATCAACACTGTGATGTGCTCTTTCCCTAAATGCTTCATTAACACGAGTTTTCGGTCCGGTTGGTAATTTATCGCCTTGAAACTCTTCTAAGGTACGGCAAAATATGAACAGAGAAAAGGGAGACTACACAAACTAGCGCTAGTTCGTGTTGTTCATGTTTGATCATGTTTTTCCTGTTGTTGAAATTTTTCTTTAGAAAGGATTGCTATCCTTATCCTATCAAGATGTTCAGCAAGTACCAACACACCCCAGTGTAGACTCTTGTCCTTGTTAAAGGAGCACTGACATCAAATTTGAGTATCGAGATGTGCCCTTCCTGCAATTTCTCGGAATGCGTAGGGCATCTTGGACAAATTTGAATCGAATCCGTTCAGTGGAAGTTATTTTATTTCGACAACAAACAGCGTACGTGAGTTTAATGAAAACGGAGTGCCCTGCGACATCGACACTAGTGCTACGAGTTCGGTGTGATACATTCCACACATACCATCCTGAATGTCGATGTGCTAGTAGCGATGATGTCTACGATCCGAGTGTTCTTATCGTGGCGCCAACTGGCCCCGAAGCCTAGAAACGCACTGGCTCGTCACGTCTGATCTTCGTCGCACCGCTTTGCATGACTTGGTGAAATTACCAAAATGCAAACCACTTTTAAAAAAACCGCGTAAGGAAAAAGCATGATTCAAGGCGTGCTTCTCGGTCAACATGTCGGGGAACCGTTGCGACTTGCAGTTGTCTCGTTCGAAGCACGGAAAAAGCACAATGTGGGTCTATTTTCATATCGCGTATATGTTACACGCCAACACGACCACAAGCTATCTAAGTGGTACACAGTATAGACAGATGCCATCGCTAGCAAGTAACACGTAGGTATTGTTGAATTTCAGTTCGTCTGCATAGTTCGTCCGCGTAATACCAGGTTACTGCTGCTGCAACCGAGAGAGGCTGGATAGGTGGAGCCATCTGGAGGGGCACAGAAGAACCTGGCAAGCAGGGAACCTATTTTATTTCTTCACTGATGCTCATTCCCGATAGCAATATTTCATTGACCCCTTTGCGTATACCTGAATGCTGTGTACCCCAAAACACATCAATATAGCTAACTGAGATACACGAGTGAACATGACAACCTTGGCCACCTCCTCAGTGCTGCTTGGAAAGCATCCATTTTGGAATCGCTGTTCTGTAAAAGGTCGATCAAAGCCTCACTGTGGTAGTCTAGTGGCTAAGGTACTCGGCTGCTGACCCGCAGGTCGCGAGTTCGAATCTCAGCTGCGGCGGCTGCATTTCAAATGGAGGCAGAGATGTTGTAGGCCCATGTGCTCATATTTCAGTGCACATTAAACAACCCGAGGTGGTCAAAATTTCTGGAGCCCTCCACTACGGCATCTCTCATAATCATAAGGTCGTTTTGGGACGTTAAACCCCACATATCAATCAAAATGTCGATCAAAGCAAAACTAATTTGCGACATCTCGAATCACGAGGATTCCATCTTCCACTCGAATCACGAGTATTCCATGTTCCAGACTATGGTATTCAAACCCAGTCGACACATTGTACGGCGACGACTGCAATACAGGTGACAAGGCATGACTAAATGTGTCCGCCTAGCAGACTAGATGTTTATGGAGCAGCTGAGCCTGACGTCAACCTTTTTTATGAAGAAGTCGACAGCTGTGGCGCGATCTGGAGGTGACCGCGAGGTCGCACTACTGGTAGTGCCCCTAGGGCTAAAAATAGTGGGATTGCCGGCCGTTTTGAATTTCGCTAGAAACTGGTGGCCAATAAATCAATAAAAGTGATAGTTATTCATCCCTCAGTTGCATTTTAGGTCTCGAATCGCAGCTACGGGATCTATAGCTACTTGTTGATGCAAAAATTTTGGCATGAGCTGATTCGATGTCGGTGCTCCTTTAATGACCAGCGATAAATTATATAATTTGCAATACTGGCTAGTGAACATTGGCAGCTGTGCACTCTAAAGCATAGAGCTAGGTAAAAATATTTCCATTTTTATAAAACTTTCGTCACCTTTCCAAGGTACCTAAATAATGTATTTTTAGCTAACGAATAATATTCAAAAGTAATAAAGGGTACAAAAATGTTTTGCTTGCTTCCTCCAATTATGTGCTTCTAAAAAGATATGTGCAAAAATGACCTGTAAAGTGTTAAAACATGCAGATCTGTGTATTATATTCTAGGTTACAGTAAGCACCATTTTACACTTGTTTTCACTGGAGTTGTGTAGCTGTATCACCTTGACGTAACTCCACATTTCATGTGCCTGTTTGTTGCTCAATTTCACCTTGCACTTAGGTGTGTGCATAGGAGTGGGGGCAGCCCCCCTCTTCCTCAACTTGTTACCTAAGATGGAAGCCACAAAATTGGAAACTTACTCAACTGACTAAGGGGGGAATTGCTGTGGTGAACCTCCCCGCCACCCGAGTGTAGGGAAACCCCAGCGCACGCCTATGATTTGGCACCTAGCAAACATGAGCTCTCAATAGTTCTCTGTTAAAGAGGGATTTTAGTGTGGAAGTTTTGTGTAAAATAAAGTTGTGGAATAGACTCACTGATGCATGCTGTGGTCATACACGGAGTGCAGTTGGAATCGTGAAAGGAGGTTATTCTGCAATATTCCATTAGAGATGCTCACTAAGCTAATTTCTCTATTCGTGACAGCTAGCTTCTCTCTGATTGCGAATAAATCTGGAGCTCTCTTAACTGAGGTGTAGTGGTTAGTTGTTTTTTTTTTTTCAAAGCAGCATGAGGTTAAGGCTATTTGGTTCGACATTGAATGCAGATAAAATATTCAATATAACTGACAGAAATATATCACTATTTAGAAAAGGTATAAGTCATCAATTGTAATGCCTTTTCATGTGCTGTTCTAAAATGTATATTCAGTGTCTACAAAGTTTTCATGTTCTCTCTTGCAGGTTGTAAATACAGCAGCGGAGCCACCGCAACAGTACTGCAAGAGACCCTATTATCAGTGCAAAGTCGGAAATTAAATAGAAATCCAGTTACTTCTGGAAATGTCTCACTTGATGTTACTTTGTTTGTTTGTCATTATAAAACAGCACTTTTGCAGGAACAGAAATTTTAAACATGGTTGAACTAGCTCCATTTATTGTCCTATAGAAACTAAATTGCTTGAAAATGTAATGGGTGTTTCCAAATGCAGGCATTATATACTTCCAGCATTATTCATCGGCCAGAAAAGATTCTAACATGTAAAAAACCTTGATCTGTTCATTAGTGGAAATTGTCTTTGCTTTGTAATCTTTGCTTTGCTTGCTTTGTAATCCTGTGATGTGTGCACACATTCGTATTACAATGAAACGATTTATTGCCCTGCATGCAGTAGACGTGCTGTTGCTAGTAGGGCCTAAGTCTACAATACGACGTTTGATGTTAATCTAAAGCATATGCTTGATTGCACTTCACTAGACAACAGCCATCAGAAACTCGCACGTTAGGACTCTATAGACTAAGGCTAAGCAATGATGATCGGAAACTCTCATATCCGGCCTCTGTAGACTTACGTTAGACAATGGTCATAAGAAACTCTCATGTCGGGCCTCTATAGACTTATGCTAGACAATGGTCATCAGAAACTAACTTCATGACTCTATAGACTATTTGTGGCCAATTACTACTAGACTCGCATTAGAAAGTGCATTAGACATACATTAGACAGTTTAACGAATGAGATGTCGAACGATATTAGCCTGTTCATAAAAGTACATTGAATTTTCTCACAAGGTGCCTTTTTCCTACATCGGCACGACTAGGCGCTTTTCACGTGAAGGTGGGTACATACAAGTGCTAGTAGTTGGCCCTTAAACTGTCTCTCGCATCCGCGTCTGCAAGCAACAATACGTAGATGAACATAGTTGGCAATGTGCCCGACAGCTGATGTCCGGTGCGAGTCTCACGGAATCGAGCGAAGGTCAACATATCGCCAATATGCATCGCCCTGGAAAATTGAACATGGCTATAGCAGAGAAGACAGCACTCGAGCTTCATTTCTTCTCAAAACATCAATTGTACGCGGTCTTTCCTGACCATCGCCTATTTCAGAAAGTCTGATAGTGTTTCACAAGCAAGCGGCAATTACAAACAGTCGAGAAGGCCAGCAGTTTCCGGCAAATAAGACAGAACAACTTAGTTGCTATCATTGCTCGGAAGTTCTTCTGAACTCTCAAGCACTCTGGGCATGCTCTTTCTCCGCTGGTAGGCCACCGATGCTCGATGTCATAAAATCAGTCTGCCGCACGTGCTCAACAGCGTTGCTTGAAAACTGTGTCGAGCTTCCATGCATCTGATACTGCTTGGGGTGACTGGTGCCATCTGTGCTGCCCATCGACTTGTCAATAAAAGACACCATTTGGTTTTCAGTGGTGCTTGAAAACTGTTCTCCAGGTCTCCTATATTGCTCGGTCTGACACTGTACACGAACGCCTGTCCAAGTGAATGCTGCTGCAAATCGCCGTTCGTGTTGATCATCAGTCTTGCTTGAATACTGAGCCCTTAGTTGATCCTTCAACTGCGCAGGCTGGCCAATTGCATTGGTGTTGCCCAGTGTTTTGGTCGGAAGCACTTGCTCATCAGAGCTGCTAAAATGGCGGGTTGAACTTGACGGATCAAAAGGTTCCTTGCTCTTCTCAGTTCTGTCACTGCTGACCAATCTCTTGAAGTGGTCTGTGCCTGAGGGCTTCCCTTTTTGGTTTCAGTGTTTCCTGAAGGCTGCATAAACCCTGTATGTCTCCTAAACTGCCTTTCCACGCTGTCTGCCCAGGCGCTGCCTCGTGCATTCAAGTCAGTGGACAAGAAGTGGCTGTCATCACCGCTTGAAAACCATGCTGGATCCACATGACCGCAGCAGTGGTTGAGCTGGCCACGTTCGCTGGATGTGTTCAAAGTCTTGAAGGCACTCGAAAGCACATGCTCGTTGTCTACACATCCTGAATACTGAACTGAGCTTAAGAGCCCATTAAGGCACTCTTCTTGGTCAGGTTTTCTGCTGGCAGTTTCTAATGTGTTAAAGCCATATCCGCTGTAGCCATTTGAAAACTGCACTGCGCCTCGAAGCTCGTCAAAACACTTGTTTTGGTTAGGTCCATCACCACTGCACCGTGTTTTGAGGTTCGTTGAAAGCATTTGATGTCTGCCAGTGCTACTACATTATGTGCGGCTTTCAAGTCCCCTAAATGGATTACTCTCATGTCTATTAGAGATACCAGATGGCTCGGGAGTATGTTGTGTGGAGAGAGCATCCAATAAATTGCCAGACCGCAAAAAGTCAGTCAAAGGCCGAGCTACCACTTCTCCCGTGAGTGTCGCAGTTGAGTTGGGTGGCATGAAGGTCAGCGCTTGGTTCGTGCGCCAAAGGGTGTCTGCGTTGGGATAAAGGCTCTGCGCTGCTGACCAAATCATGCTCATGACACCCTCGCTCATTCCACTCATATAAGCTACTTCCGTGCCGACAGTGACTCACCTAACCCCATTTCTCTCCAGCGACCGATGGTGTTTTCAGATGTCCGCTGTTAATAACAGGGTTCCTGGCAGATGGAGCCCAAGTCTTGGTTTCTGGTTGGCCAGTTCTCAGTTGAGGAAGTGTCTCACTTTTATGCGGCTGGCTGATTGCGCATGCCTGTTTCTCCCCCGGAACGTCGTTGTTTTCGGCGGACCTGATGAGCTCTTCGTACTTGCGATTGTACTAATCCTTGACGGCTTGGTCCACTTTCCAGCCCATAGAGCGGAGCTCAATAATCTCAACAAGTCTCAGCCGATCAAGAACGCTGTGTTGGTCGTCTCAAGAGACGTTGCGAAACACGGCAAAACACACATTTAAACGAGGAATACGCCCACCTTGGGTAGTTTTATCCGTCATGTTTGCCTTGGGGACGTGCTTTCTCAGCTATCGAAATGCGGCGGACAGCGGCCTAGGTAATGAAGAAAGCCGTACTCGTAGTCTCTTCCAACGTGGCAAGCGCGAAGGTCAAGGTGATAGTGATGATGATGAGGGGCAAGACATTCAGGTTTTCTTCTTCTTTTCTCATATAAGCAAAGAAATTTCTAAATTCTATATCAAGTCGCCCGTCACCTGACCAATTCCTCGGCGTAAGTAAAGTTACTTCGTCATCCACTGAGAAGACAAAGATAATAGACCAAGATTTCTTTAAACATATGTAATTTCATGCAAACACGTACATCTTTTGATGTCCTTTTAATTTCAGTTTTGTTTTGTTCATTTTACCCGGAAGGAAGCGTTGCATATGGTTGACTTTTTGATTAAGGCCTTTAATGAAGACCCGGCTGAGGAACTTTTCAAATTGCACCTTCGCATCGAGCAGCATTGCATAAACAGCGTAACAAGGGATGCGCAAGCTGGAGAAGAGGCCCTAAATATTCGAAGTCTGCAGGAGGCGATTTCGTTCGTGTCGGCAAGTCGTCCATTCGTTTCAAAGGAGGTTGTGTCTTTCCAACACCAACAAAAGTTGTAAAGAAACAAGGGCCTTCTTCCTTCCGGCAACAAGTTGTTAGGATCTGGAACGCCTCAAAACTTGCCCAAGTCCCTCTGAAGAGCCAGTGTCAATTCGTGAACGCTTCGGTGAGCGGTTGCCACTTCTGCGCGAGTGTGCTGTGCCGTGCTATCCTGCAACCTTCGAATAACGCGTTCGATGCTCTACCACTGAGCTACCACGGCGGCTATTCCCCTTGTCACTTTATTGGATATATATATATATATATATATATATATATATATATATATATATATATATATATATATATATATATATATATATATATATATATATATATATATATATATGTACATACACGTCACGAAACGAACTTGTGAGGTCGTTTCGTGCGTCATCAGTGCGTGAGAAACGCGGGGAACGTTTCGATATGCTTGCCATTCTGCGCGTGACCTTCCAATTCGTTGCTATCGCGTTCATTGCTACGCCTTTGCGGCAACGCTGTGACTTTCCATCTCTTTTGTGTGACATCTGTCATGTTTTACTCCCCTCAGCCCTCTATCTCGCTCAAGGTAGCCAGCCGGTCTGAGAACCAGCCAACCTCCTTGTCCTCCATTTCCTCTTTCTCTCGAAAAAAAAAAGATATTTGGCAACTTCCAATAGTTAGTTTTCGAATCGAATAACCGTAGAATAACTAAAATTATTTGTTTATGATTTCAATATTCTCACACTCGTACGCGCATTTCTATGGTAAGGTTATGCTCATTCCATCTACGCAGATGCCATGCAGGAGGGATATATCAGTTCACAACTGGCTCTACGTATAGGGTCGGCGTGCAGTCACTTGAAATCCTTATTATTCACCACACTCTAGTGGCGTTCTGTGGATGGATAGATAAATAAATAAAGGTCCATCAAGGAAAAGTTACTCAATGGTTTGCACTAGCGCATTTGTGTGATCTGCACTATGTTTTTTTTTTTGTCGTACTGAAATTGCACCTCTAAGTTGGTGGTAATGATTGTGGTGGTGGTGGTGGTGATGATGATGGGGAGGATGATAATATTAAGAAGAACAACAAAACGATTTGTGAATTCGCGTCTGCAAGTTTTATTCTATTTTCCATTCCTATTGTGGCATTACATATATGAACATCAGCAACCATCACAATAACGCCAATGTGGTGTTCAATTCTTTTGCGCGGCCTATAGGCCCGAAATCATTCTCTTCGCATTTTCTTTTTCTTTTCTCTACAGCTGTTATCTCGCGTTGTGCAGTATTTTCCTGCGCACTTTTCTTTCCCCTTACACCACAGAAGCGGTGCGTTTGACGCACATTTGTCGGGAAACACTTCTTCCTTCTTGCACCGACTTCCTGCATCGCCAGTTAAGCTTCCGTATTGACGATATAATGGAGCTCACCTTGTTCTGGAAGCATGCGTGTCTGTTCGATGCCTGAGGTGTGGAGCAATTATGCAACTGTCTGAATAGTCTTTGGAACGTTCGCTCGAAAGTTATCAGTGATATGATAACGTTGAAGATAAAATTTCGAAGGCTTCTTTC